TCACGAACGCTGGCCTAAAGACTTGTCTTTAAATTCCAGGACTTCAAAAGTTCAAAACAATGAAGCAAGGCGGCTGTGACGAATAAGACGACGGATGTGGCGTCACGCTTTTTGACGATGTCTGTTTGTATTGTAAAACACGAAACGATTCATTCGAGTTTATTTTTTTAATTTTTTTTTATATGTTGGATGGGGGATATATTTTATTCTGATTATAAAAGACGAGAGTTTAATGTGTGTTGTATGTGTGTTGTGGTTGTGTCGTATGGTGTGTTATACGTGTAATGTTAGCGTGTGTGATCTAGAAGGCGGAGGATAGTCTGTTCGGAGTTGTGATTGGAGAGATGAGATAAGGGGGTTAAAGGATCGGGTTAATGAGGCGGGGTTAATCCGGTGGGTTAATAAAGTAGATAAGTGGTTGCAGGGGTGTGTGTGTGTTTTTTTTTGGGGGGGGGGGGGCTAAACTACTTGACAGGGTTGCGTTATGTTAGTTGCGGTTGAGGGGGGGGGGGGGTCCAGGGTGCAGTTGTACTGGGAGCTGGGGTAGGGGTGTGGGTGTGGTGGACACCTAGTACGAGCAGGGATGATTTATGGGATTCGTATGTTGGGTATTCATCATCATCATTTCCGGTTCGTGCCCAAGACACATGGGGCAGATGAAGTAGAGTTCATCTGCTTCAGCGACCTCGACATATGAAAGAATAGCGTGGTCAGCACTATGCCCAGCCGCCTTTGTTTCATTGACGGGAGTTAGGTACCTATCAGAGCTGGGTGGACTCAGTATTCTAGCGCCACGACATCCCATGAGCAAAGTTCTATCTAAGCTGCGCGGTTGCGCGGCCCGCGCAGTAGTTTTGAGCTACCGCGCAGTCATTTTGTAAAATAAAAATATTCTTGTATAAGACTGTTAGAAAACCGCGCACACAAAATACACGTTTTACACTAGCTTTTCTCTCTTAGAGGGAACATTGCACATGAGAGAGGGGGTATCTCCAGACTATTAAATAGAACCTCTACCATCTGCCGTAATTGCAATGGAGGTCTGAAACCATTAGAACGCTACAACTGCATGATACATGTGAGAATTTCCAGCAGGAAAATTTGGGATCCAATCTATAAATCTCAAAACGGGAAGTGATGTCCTTTAATTACCATTGACTTTATATATATATATATATATATATATATATATATATATATATATATATATATATATATATATATATATATATATATATATATATATATATATATATATATATATATATATAGTGCTTATTCTTAAGCTCCTAGTCTTTTTTTTTAAATAATTTTGTTTCGTAAAAACGACTTATATTTCAGCTTTCATACACCTCTCCTTTCCTTTAACCGTGGCATTAAGCTTTAAGGATTCACCCTAGACCTTGCATATCATTACATTTCTATTTATCCAATTAGTTAAGCAAATTTCAAAGATTTTTTTTTTCTTTAAAGTAATTGCTTTTTTTTTTTAAACAAAACACATCTAGACTAGTATCTCTTTGTATGAATCACATCTAACCTAACAGAACTACTTGAAGACTGACTACAATTACAAAGATATTCTTATTGAAGTCTCAGTTTATATTACCTTTGTATTACATATGGAGCCTGATAGTCCAAATGGGCGTAGTATCATCTTCCTGACTACCTTACCTGCCCCCATCCCACCCCCCCCCCCCCACTCTTTCAAGTCCAGATGAGTTGGACATCAAAAGGGGAAAACCCTATAGGTAAAAGAAATGTATGCATAGTTAACAGGCAGTTTGTGTTTTAATTGTCGACATAAGCACAGGTACTAAACAGGTACTCGGTGTTTTTCATCTTATAATGCATGCGTAGACTATACATAAACACAATTATAGGTTAAGTATAAGCTATAGGTATATATATATATATATATATATATATATATATATATATATATATATATATATATATATATATATATATATATATATATGTATAGGCTATATATATGTATAGGCTATATATATGTATAGGCTATATATATGTATAGGCTATATATATGTATAGGCTATATATATGTATAGGCTATATATATGTATAGGCTATATATTTGTATAGGCTATATATATGTATAGGCTATATATATATATATATATATATATATATATATATATATATATATATATATATATATATATATATATATATATATATATATATATATATATATATATATATATATATATATATATATATATATATATATATATATATATATATAAGCCTATACATTCCCTACGTGTGCTGAAGGCCTATAACACAACACTGTCTGATAGATGTATTTCCTTTATAAGCCCACCTTCCCATCATTTCATCAGCCGTTTGCACATCTGTATGGCACGATCTCTATGACATGACCTGAATGACATGACATTAGAAAAAATATTTCTAAAATTAAAATCTTCATCGAGCAGTATCTCCTACCTCCCCCTCTCCCCCCCCCCCCTCCCTCCCTCTTCCACCTCAGCCTCAGTATGTACACACCCATACAATAGACCGTCTACCATTTGAATAACAGGTTCGGCTCTCTACCTTAGCACAATACCGCCTACCCATTCCTGCGGTAAATTTGCACAGGCTTGTGTGCAGGGGGGGGGGGGGGGGGTGGAGGGGGTGGTGTTGTTGAGAGGACTGGGGGTGGGGGGGGGTTGTTGAGAGGACTGGGGGTGGGGTGGGGTGGGGGGTGTTGTTGAGAGGACTGGGGGTGGGGTGGGGGGTGTTGTTGAGAGGACTGGGGGTGGGGTGGGGGGTGTTGTTGAGAGGACTGGGGGTGGGGTGGGGGGTGTTGTTGAGAGGACTGGGGGTGGGGTGGGGGGTGTTGTTGAGAGGACTGGGGGTGGGGTGGGGGGTGTTGTTGAGAGGACTGGGGGTGGGGTGGGGGGTGTTGTTGAGAGGACTGGGGGTGGGGTGGGGGGTGTTGTTGAGAGGACTGGGGGTGGGGTGGGGTGGGGGGGTGTTGTTGAGAGGACTGGGGGTGGGGTGGGGGTGGGGGGTGTTGTTGAGAGGACTGGGGGTGGGGTGGGGGGGTGTTGTTGAGAGGACTGGGGGTGGGGTGGGGTGGGGGGTGTTGTTGAGAGGACTGGGGGTGGGGTGGGGGGTGTTGTTGAGAGGACTGGGGGTGGGGTGGGGGGTGTTGTTGAGAGGACTGGGGGTGGGGTGGGGGGGTGTTGTTGAGAGGACTGGGGGTGGGGTGGGGTGGGGGGTGTTGTTGAGAGGACTGGGGGTGGGGTGGGGTGGGGGGTGTTGTTGAGAGGACTGGGGGTGGGGTGGGGGGTGTTGTTGAGAGGACTGGGGGTGGGGTGGGGGGTGTTGTTGAGAGGACTGGGGGTGGGGGTGGGGTGGGGGGTGTTGTTGAGAGGACTGGGGGTGGGGTGGGGGGTGTTGTTGAGAGGACTGGGGGTGGGGTGGGGGGGTGTTGAGTGCGAGGACTGGGGTGGGGTGGGGGTGTGTTGAGAGGACTGGGGGTGGGTGGGGTGGGGGTGATGTTGAGAGGACTGGGGGTGGTGGGGTGGGTGTTGTTGAGCCGGACCTGGGGGTGGGGTGGGGGGAGTTGTAGAGCGGACTGGGGGGTGGGGTGGAGGGGTGTTGTTTGAGAGGAATGGCGTGCCTTGGGTGGGGTGGGTGTTGTAGATGAGCGACCAGGGGGTGGGTGGTGGGTTGTTGTAGAGAGCTCTGCAGGTGGAGGGTGTTGAGAGGGACAGATATTTTAATACCCGCGTAGATACCCACCCTCGGACCAATCGTGGTGGTGCGGTACGATGCGTGCGTTCGCTGGTACAGGTTTCAATGTGGATCATTATGACGTCTCTGAGCTCACTGACTTGTAACAGGTACCAAGCATTTTTTAGAGTACGACTGCTGACCCGAAAGTCTCAAGTTAGGGGGAGTACGGTAAACGACGTTACAAATTAATGGAGAAATTTAGTCCCTGCCTAACCACCCCCTCATTGGACAGTGTGGTCGACAGCTAACCCAGATGTCTCGAGTTCTGATCCCGGGTTCAAGTCCGTAAGACGTCCCTGAGCCCACACATCTCTAATGGGTACCTGACTCACGTTAGGTAAACTAAAGGCGGATTTGGCATATAACTGACCACACTAGACGTTCATATACCGATGTAACAAAAACAGATAACTCCACTTCATCTACCAGATTAACCGACATATCTGATAGGTTAACTTTTATCATTTCTTGGGTAAGTTGACAAATACTCAGAACAACAGAGTCAGCATTTATATTCGATATTCGATTACTTTAAAAAGTTGTATCGATACGCCATACCGGAAATGACCCAAGTACCTAAAAACCTAGCAGTATTTGATCGAGTCCAGTGCGTAGGTTGATCAACCTCACATCACATCGTCGCGAGAATTCAGCGAGATCACAGCGTTTTATCTGGTGCAATAAATATCAATGTGTTTAACATCACCCCCCCCCCCCACACCTTCTCCCCCCCCCCATCTGTATATAATTCTACCATCATTTCAATGTGTTAGGTAACACCCCCCCCCTCCCCCATCCCATCAAAATTCGTTTTCTTGACATCTACCTTAATACCTTTTTAAAAAAAAAAATTCTATTGAATTATGTATCTATATTTCTCTCTCCACTATCCCACTGTCTCCCCCACCCCCCCTCTCCCATCCATCCATCCATCCATCCATCCGACATCCACTACACCTAATCTCCCCAGCCGATCGCCGATCATGCGTTCATTGGATCATAGCCCGAGTTTGTCATTCACAAAACGAAAACCTCCATCTCGCGATGCTTGCACCGTCCTCGTCGCTGATTGGTGGATTCCGCACGCCGGCGCCTCGCGCGCCTCAGCATCGCAGCCATTGTATTGGCTACACGAGCTTCGCCTATTGTCCTCCAGCGCCGCGGCCAGATAATTCTCTCGCAGAGTAATCTTTTCCTGGGAGGAGTTATCCCTTCTACCGCAACAAACACTCCCAATGACTCCCGGTTTACAGCGGATATATTCACGTATTCGGCTATAAACGTACATAATTGTTACCGCGTTGTTATTGTTTTTAATTATTATCATTTCTCAACTTAAGGAATAAATTATTTTTTTTTAAATTAAAATTTAAAAAAAATTTACAACAAGAATTTGACTCAATTTCTTCACGCGCGTGACGTCACCCCTACTGTTGCGTTTTGGCGTTTATCCCCTAAAACCACCGGATGAGCGAGACTGGTGGTGAGTTAACAATTCCTGGAACTACCCCGTGAGTGCTACAATTCGCGTGCTATGTCAGGAGCCAGGACTTGGACGGCTACGGGACCTGTATTCGTTGAGCGATTTAGCCTTGGTATTGATAATGATCCACGTTCGCGATTAAGGTAGGTTAATTATGTCTCGGTAATTAGGCTTAATTAAGTTTATTTATAGCGGGATGAAAATATTTTTTTTTATAACCTGTTGATTTTAATACAACATTATACACATTTTTTGTAAACACTTAAGACTTATTTCTGTATTAATGCACTAACCGAGCAGAATGAAATTAGATCTAGTTGTTAAATTATACTTAATCAACTTTACATTGTAAATTAGTCATTTTTTTTTCTTTAAAAAAACTTCTTGATTTTGAAGCTATAATCCGTTTATAACTTTTGAATTTAGGCTTACTACTTTTCTTACAACAAACTACCCTCATATAAGACTGGTTACAAAGACTAACTACGACTTGTTCCAAAGTTTAAAATTTCACGATTTATTATTAGTGCCATTATCGCTTAGTCATTTGTCTGCCATATATCTGTTGATGGGGCGGATGATTACCAACTAGACGGCGCCCGTGGGATGATCAATGTCTTAACAGATGTCAATGTACACCCCCCATCCATAATTTCACATGTATATATACCTATATGTGAAATAATGGATGGCAGTATAAATTTGCCTATACATACACACATATATACATATATATATATATATATATAGGCCTATATATATATATATATATATATATATATATATATATATATATATATATATATATATATATATATATATATATATATATATATATAAAGTGTATATAAAAAGCGTAAATATAAATATAAAGTATTGTAAAGCGTATATATAAAGCGTATATATAAAGCGTATATATATATATATATATATATATATATATATATATATATATATATATATATATATATATATATATATATATATATATATATATATATATATATATTTATATTTATATATATATATATATATATATATATATATATATATATATATATATATATTTATATATATATATATTTATATATATATATTTATATATATATATATATATATAATACATGTATATACATATATAATGCCTATACATGTATGCATAAAAAAGGCGTATATATATATATATATATATATATATATATATATATATATGTGTGTGTGTGTGTGTTTACATGCATATCTATATTTCTGTCTATTTATTTAAATTAATAAACAAACAAATAGGCTTATAATATATGCCTATTTGTATATTATACAAATAGTAACATTAATATATAAGATATTATACATGGTGGGAGTAGGGGCGGGGTATTAGTCGCCTGTAATCTAATGTGTTACTAGTTGTGTGATGTCACTGGTGAGTGATCAGTCTGTTAAATGATGTGTCCTAACGTTGATGTGTCAGTCTAATGATATGTATCGGCTAAATGTCAGTCAAATTTTGTGTTGTGTCAGTAATATGTCAGTCACATGATGTGTCATTCGTGTCAGTGATGCATGAGTCTAATGTGTCGTAACGGTGATGTGTCAGTCAAATGATGTGTCCTGTCGGTGATGTGTCGCTCTACTAATGTGTTCTGTCAGTATTGCGTTTCTCTAATGATGTGTCGGTGATGTGTCACTCTACCGTTGTGTTCTGTAAGTATTGCCTTCTCTAATGATGGCTCGGAGATGTGTCATTTCTATGATGTGTCAGTCAACTAGTGTCGGCCTTCACTAATAAAGCTGGTTTGCTATTGAAGTTACTAGTAGCAAAATGTTAAGTCCAAGTGAAGTGATGTTTGCTACTATGCTGGTGATGTTTACGCGTCATGTTTGCCCGTGATGGTTTAAGGAGATTTTTGCTGGTAAAGTTTGCAGTGACATATGTCTGTCTTGTGATGTGTTATAGTGATGTTTGCTAGAGGTGATGTTTACTAGCGATGTTTTCATTTGATGGTAAGACTGCTACAATCATGTGTGTCATGTGCCGTGATGTGTCTTGTGTGTCGGGTTGTTTCTTGTGTCTTGGAATATGTCTCATGTATCGGGATATGTCGGGTTGTGTCTTGTGTCTTGGAATGTGTCTCATGTGTCGGGATATGTGTGGTTGTGTCTTGTCTTGGAATGTGTCTTATGTGTCGGGTTGTGTCGTGTGTGTCGGGTTGTATCGTTTGAGTCGAACACATATACTCCTGCCCACGGTAACTTACAAACGTTAGAAACATATATTTAAAGTAAACCCTAATGTTTGTAAATTACCGTGTTTAGGAGTATGTGTGTTCGAGTTCACTACGATCAGTGTATGTCGCTAACATATGTGTATGTATGTTATTCTCGTTGTATGTGGGTTTACGTTATGTATGTGTATGTTATTGTTATAGATGATTGGGATTTTACGGTGCACTAGGTTATGTTGTGTATGTTGTTCAAGTGATATGTTAAGTAAAGTTCTGTTTGTGGTTCAAGTGATGTTTTTGTTTAGTTCTGTATGTGGAACAAGCGATATGTTAAGAAATGTGTGTGAATTACCTTATGTTCGGTGAAATGTGATCGAATAGTATATGGTATCATGTTATGTGTACATGTGATGCTCACGATTTTAGTATTTACGTTATGTATGTGTATATGTGTAATAGAAAATTGTGATACAATACAGTATGGTATCAAGGTATGTGTGTTTAATGTGGTTATAACTGCATATGGAGATTAAGTTATGTTTGTGTGTATGTATTTCTAATGTGTGAATTTAGCTTTATGAAGAATCATCCAAATGTGTGATGTATGAATATGTGGAAAGAAATACTTTATACAAGCAACTGATGTGGTTGTTGTGAAGTTGTATTTGCGCTGTGGCTGTTGGTGCCTGTAACAAGTAGACTAGAGAACCACTGTCGCACTGCGCCAACCGTAAAAACATCCGTCTAACTCTAATTGTTGAGTCCATTGTTTGAATAAAGTAATTTGTGATACTATGTTGTATACAGTGGACGGCGTGGTCGGGTGTTAGAGCTTACGACTGCTAACCCAAAAGTCTCGAGTTCGAACCACGGGTTTGAGTTCACTCAGCTCTAATGGGTACCTGACTTACGTTAGGGAAACTGAGGCGGTTGGTTATAGTGCTGACCAAATTATCCTATCATATGCCAAGGTTAATGCAATAAACTCTACTTCATCTACCCTATGTGTCTAGGGCATGAACGGGAAAAGATGATGGTGATGAGGATGATGATGATGATGATAAAGGAATCCAAGTACATTATTGTAGTGTAAATTTCTATTAGCGTTGTTCATTGTGGACTGAAATGTATTCGTCTTATGGTATTGTATACCAAGGGCTACATTTCATACTTTTAACGGTGTTGTCCTCTCTTTTCTAAATGGTATACATTTTACTGTATTGTCTACTAAAGACTAAATAACATATGTATATCCGTCTCATTCCCTGATGACGAAATGGTATACTTTTTACTCTCTTGTATACCAAGGAATACATTCTATACACCTGTTGGTATTTGTATGGTATGTTTCACTGAATACTTTCTATTTGCATTGTCCTCAGACTGTAAACCGTAAAATTTGATTGTTATTTTATCTCTATTACTGTTTTTTCTTCTTCGTTCATAATTTCTAATGCTGGAAGGTATTTTCTTCCAACACAATTTAGTATACTTGTCAACGTGTTATGCGCCATTGATGCCATTGACTCTGATTTTAGCCTGCTTTTCTTTTTGATTTGCTTCCATAGCCTTTGTCCAACCAAGAACATACCACAAGTCAGCAGTTGTTTTATTTTGGAGTTTTCTCTCCTAGATGGGTTGTTGTCCCCAGCTGTCAAGCCTCATATGCTCTATTTACTATATACTTTTGTCTTGGATCATAGCTAGTGTTGACCACTTGTAGACATAGTCCATGTAGTATACTGTATATCTCATATATGCTAATGACTTGTATGTGGTACAGCTATAGCAAAATATCGTGGCGTGCCCTATGTGGACCTAACATATTTTACAGGATATTTATGTTTGTCGTCAATAGCTTATGCTTATATATTGTTTTGGGATATATTTAGACTAGAGTTATGGTTAGGGATAAATTAAGAATCCGGACCGATATATCCAAATGCTAAACACCATATTCTTGGAGGGGGTCTCTAGATTCAGTACTGTCACAAGATGCCAGACTATCTAAACGTTTTTGATACTGAGTCATTCATATATATATATATACATACATACATATTATATATATATATATATATATATATATATATATATATATATATATATATATATATATATATATATATATATATATATATATATATATATATATAAACATTATTTTGAACATTATTTTGAACATTATTTTGAGATATTGAAAAATGGTATTGTAAAATCGTTGAATATTATGTGATACTAATTACTTCCCATGTAATTATTTTAAGATAACAAGGGGAAAAAGCATGAATTTATGTTACAAAATTTATTATAATTAATTATATTTTTAAAAAGTATCTGGTTTGAAGAGAAATCCTTTAGTTTATATTGCATTCTAAATTAATATAAAATATTATATTTAAATTATAGTAAACATTTTATATTTAATGAAAATTCTAAAAGTACTTGACTCTAGTTTAATACTTAAAACGGTTAACAGTGTTAAGTAATTATTTTTAGAAAAAGTGAAAACGCCTTTGATTAATTAATATCTTCCATTCATTCTCGCATTAGCTTATTCTAATTTAAAACAAATCTATTAATAAAAGAATTCATGTACATCGCTGATTGGTGTAGTAGCAAGGCCCTTAGATTAGAGGGAACCATGTGTACATTCATATATATATATATATATATATATATAATATATATATATATATATATATATATATATATATATATATATATATATATATATATATATATATATATATATATATATATACATAAACGTTTTTGATACTGAGTCATTCTTATATATATATACATACATACATATACATATTATATATATATATATATATATATATATATATATATATATATATATATATATATATATAATATATATATATATATATATATATAATTAAGCTAAATCATTA